AGGCTGAAGGCAGACTGAGGCTGAGGCTGAAGCAGGCTGAGGCTGAGGCTGAGGCAGGCTGAGGCTGAGGCTGAGGCAGGCTGATGCTGAGGCAGGCTGAGGCTGAGGCTGAGGCTGATGCAGGCTGAGGCTGAGGCAGGCTGAGGCTGAGGCCAAGGCTCAAGGCAGGCTGAGGCTTTGGCTGAAGCAGGCTGAGGCTGAGGCTGAGGCTGAGGCTGAGGCAGGCTGAGGCTGAGGCTGAGGCAGGCTGATGATGAGGCAGGCTGAGGCTGAGGCTGAGGCTGAGGCTGAGGCTGAGGCTGCAGGCTGAGGCTGAGGCAGGCTGAGGCTGAGGCTGAGGGTGAGGCTGAGGCTGAGGCTGAGGCAGGCTGAGGCAGACGCTGAGGCAGGCTGATGCTGAGGCAGGCTGAGGCTGAGGCTGAGGCTGATGCAGGCCGAGGCTGAGGCAGCCTGAGGCTGAGGCGAGGCAGAAGGCAGACTGAGGCTGAGGCTGAAGCAGGCTGAGGCTGAGGCTGAGGCAGGCTGAGGCTGAGGCTGAGGCAGGCTGATGCTGAGGCAGGCTGAGGCTGAGGCTGAGGCTGATGCAGGCTGAGGCTGAGGCAGGCTGAGGCGGAGGCCGAGGCTGAAGGCAGACTGAGGCTGAGGCTGAAGCAGGCTGAGGCTGAGGCTGAGGCAGGCTGAGGCTGAGGCTGAGGCAGGCTGATGCTGAGGCAGGCTGAGGCTGAGGCTGAGGCTGATGCAGGCTGAGGCTGAAGGCAGGCTGAGGCTGAGGCCGAGGCTGAAGGCAGACTGAGGCTGAGGCTGAAGCAGGCTGAGGCTGAGGCTGAGGCAGGCTGAGGCTGAGGCTGAGGCAGGCTGATGCTGAGGCAGGCTGAGGCTGAGGCTGAGGTGATGCAGGCTGAGGCTGAGGCAGGCTGAGGCTGAGGCCGAGGCTGAAGGCAGGCTGAGGCTGAGGCTGAGGCAGGCTGAGGCTGAGGCTGAGGCAGGCGGAGGCTGAAGCAGGACTGAGGCTGAGGCTGAAGCAGGCTGAGGCTGACCCGGCTGAGGCCGAGGCGCTGAGGCAGCTGAGTGACGAGGACGAGCTGCAGGCAGACTGAGGCTGAGGCTGCGAGCAGGCGAGCTGAGGCGAGGAGGCTGAGGGATGCTGAGGCTGAGGCAGGCTTGAGGCTGAGGAGGCTGAGGCTGAGGCTGAGGCTGATGCAGGTGAGGGCATGAGGCAGGCTGAGGCTGGGCCGAGGCGACGGCAGATGAGCTGAGGCTGAAGCAGGCTGAGGCCTGAGGCAGAGCAGGATCAGGTGAGGCTGAGGCAGGCTGATGCTGAGGCAGGCTGAGGTCTGAGGCTGAGGCTGATGCAGGTGAGGCTGAGCAGGTTGAGGCTGAGGCCGAGGTGAAGGCAGACTGAGGCTGAGGCTGTAGCAGGCTGAGGCTGAGGCTGAGGCAGGCTGAGGCTGAGGCTGAGGGCTGAGGCTGATGCTGAGGCAGGCTGAGGCTGAGGCTGAGGCTGATGCAGGCCACTGCGACTGTCATCGCGAATGCGACTACGACTGCGAGAACAGCAGAATTCTACAACTGGATTCTCATCCGAATCTTAAGGGGAATGCTTCCAGATGTGCTCCTACACATCGATGTTAGGTTGCTTTGCCGGGATAATTTTTCCATGAGCACGCCGTTCGAAATTTCTGCGATGAGCCCGCCGATGTGACGGACGTGCGTCAAATCGTTGTGCCCTCTGTCCTTCCCTTACTCTGGTCCCAACCGAACCCCGAACACACAATATTTGAATTTCCGAAGGCGAGAGGACCAACACTTGTGGTTAATCTACGTGAGGTGCTTCAACGGCTTGGGTTAGTTCAGATCTTCTCATAGCCTCCGGAGTAACCTAAAAGTTTGTGTGGGGCCATCTAGCGGTTCATAGGGGTATTCTTGAGTTCGTCGTGGGCCCACTTGGGCCATCCAGGGGGGTGGGGCACGTGATATTACTCTCAGGTGAGGAAGTCAGACTGGGTGCCGCCAGATCCTGCAATCCTCCAGACTCGCCCTGCGTTCAGGACGCGTTTCTGGTCTGAGGAAGGACGGGGAGAGAGGAGGATGAGGAGGAAGGGAAGATGAGGAGGAGGATGTGTCAAAATGCGGAGGCGGAGAGAGGGAGTAGGACGAGGAGGAGGAGGAGGAGGAGGAGAAGGAGCAGGAGCAGCAACAGCAGCAGTGGAAACACTTAAGAGGAGAAGAGAGGAGTGAGCATTGTGGTTGATGATGATGATGCTGATGCTGCTGCTGCTGCTGCTGCTGCTGCTAATGCTGCTAATGCTGATGAGGAGGAGGAGGAGGAGGAGGAGGAGGAGGAGGAGTCGGAGAAGGAGGAGGAGGAGTAGGAGGAGGAGGAGGAGGCGGAGAGGTCGGAGGAGCAGAGAGGAGGGGGGGAGGAAGTCGAGGAAGAGAGCGAAGGAGACAGGGTATGCGCAACATATGTGAAGGCTGACGGACGGTGCCGACCGGCCCTGAAAGGGGGCTCGAGACCAGGAGAGGGGAGGAGGAGAGAGAAGGAGGAGGAGGAGGCTGAGGAGAAGGAGGCGGAGAAGGAGGAGGAGGAGAAGGAGGAGGAGGAGCAGGATGAGGTAGGAGGAGGATGGAGGAGGAGAAGGAGGAGGAGAGGGAAGACAATGAGGCAGGAGGGGAAGAGGAGGAGGAGGCGGAGGAGGAGGAGGAGGAGGAGGAGGATAGGAGGAGGAGGAGGAGGAGGAAATGGACTCCCCCCTGGGACACCCCCACCTGGGGAGGAGGGGGTGGCCGGAGGAGGACCGGCGTGGGAGAGGGGAGGGGAGGGGGAGGAGGACCTCCATGGACGGATGCGTATCTGATTCCCCTCCCCCCCCTGGGACTCCAAGCTGCGAACCCGTTCCCCGAACGAGGAGGGGTGCTCTCTCTCTCTCTCTCTCCTCCCCGACGGGAAAGGAGGATGGTGGGAAGGAGGTCACGAAAGAAGGCTCCCCGTCGACGGGACCGGACAGACACTCCACACACGCCGACAGGGTCGGCGGATTTGACATCCTACCCCTCCTACCAATAATTCTTTACGCTTCGCGTATCCCCACCAGCCCATCTCAGAGCAGCAACTCTTGCGAAGCATGCCGACAGTCGTGTTTTTCAGGCGTGTGTCCGCTTGGCCCCGCATATCTCCCCTGTTCCTCCTTCCTCCCGCCTCCTTGTACATCCTCCTTGTGGGGGGAGCGGGAGAAAGACGAGGCGGAGGAGGAGGGAGAGAAAGCGCTCCTCGTGGTTTGAGTCGTTCGGGCTTCTCGTCCTGGTGTGAGTCGTTCGGGCCCTTCTTCCTGGTGTGAGTCGTTCGGGCTCTTCGTGGTGTGAGTCGTTCGGGCTCTTCGGCCTGGTGTGAGTCGTTCGGGCTTCTCGTGGTGTGAGTTGTTCGGGCCCCTCGTCCTGGTGTGAGTCGTTCGGGCCCCTCCTCCTGGTGTGACTCGTTCGGGCTCCTCGTGGTGTGAGTCGTTCGGGGCCTTCGTCGTGGTGTGAGTCGTTAGGGCTCCTCGTGGTGTGAGTCGTTCGGGCGCCTCGTCCTGGTGTGAGTCGTTCGGGCCCCTCCTTGTGGTGTGAGTCGTTCGGGCTCTTCGTGGTGTGAGTCGTTCGGGCCCTCGTCCTGGTGTGAGTCGTTCGGGCTCCTCGTGGGGGCCTCGTGGGGGCCTCTTGGAGCCTCTTGGGGCCTCTTGGGGGCCTCTTGGGGGCCTCTTGGGTGGCCTCTTGGGGGCCTCTTGGGGCGTCTTGGGGCACCGTGGGGGCCTCTTGGGGGCCTCTTGGGGGCTTTGGGGCTCTTGGGGGCTCTTCGGGGGCTCTTGGGGCCTCTTGGGGGCCTCTTGGGGGCCTCTTGATGCCTCTTTGGGAGGAGTCCCAGTGTCTCGTCAGGAGCCTCCTGGGGCCTCTTGCGACCTCCTCAGAAGCACAAATGAGCGCTGCCCCCTGAGAAGGACAAAATGAGCCCAAAACCTTCGTACAATCAATGATTTTGCTATGAAGGAAGATGAGCGCGGCCCCCTCAGGAGGCCAAAATGGGGCCAAAACCGTAGTAAAATCAATGTTTTTTGCTTCAAAGACGGTCTGAGGCGCCAAACGTTCCCCCCCCCCTGGGGGCCAGAATCCTCGTGAGGGTCGTCGTTTTTTGGCCCTCCCAGGAGTCGAAAAAGACCCCCTTGAGTACACTCGGCCCGCCCTCTCCAGGCCCAGTGGGAGGGGGTAGGGGGAGGGGTAAACCCCTCCCCGAAGGGGAAGAAGGGGGGTTGGGGGGTTGAGGACAGAGAAAGCTCGCTAAACCACTCACGCCCAAAGGGCTGGTGGGATTGTGCATTGCGCTGACTGTTTCTCCTCCCACCGCGTAGCGGACCTGGACCCCTCAAATGGTCCCAGCGCTTGATGCGCGATCGAACAGACATGGGAGCTGTGTACATGGGAGCCGGGAGAAGAGGTAGCGGACGAGCAGGATACTGAGCATAATGAGCGAGGAAGAAGCAGGAGCAGCAGCAGCAGGAGCACGAGCAGGAGCGGGAGGAACATGAGGGCAAGGGGAAAGCGGAGGAGGGGAAAGGCGAGGGGCGGCACCAAGGAGGTGTGAACCGGATGCAGAAATGCGCCCCGCGATAGAATGTATGTTGTCAGACATGAGGATCGGGCGAGCCAGAACACTACGCGGAATACGTGGGAGGAGCAGGACGTGGAAAGCACGGTTTTAGGGGAGAAGGGAAAGCCGTATTCGTATTGAGTAAGTGCATTTGTGGACTGATGGAGGCGGAGGGTGGTGGGAGATGGACAGCAAAGGAGTGGCCGAAGGAATGTAATAAAGCATGGCGCTTGAAGTTCATTGAGCTCACACAACGAATGTGTGCAGATTTGCGCTCGAGTGAGTCGGTCCCTGCCCACACACTGGGCAGCTCCTATCTTTTCACCTCACTGCCGAAGTCCCAGATCTTGTGCCAGCGTTCTCATTCATCGTGCCTGAGGAGCATCAACCCTGGACTTCTGCCACGTCAGGGCGCTGAGGCGAGGGACTCTCTCTCTCTCTCTCTCGCTTTGTCTTTCTTTGTTTCTCCCTGTACGTCTACCTCTGCATCCCTCCCTTCTCCTCCTGCTCCTCCTTCTTCTCCTCCCTCCAAGCTGGAGCGGTCCCCCTCTCCCGATCTCGGCCACTGTCTTGACGGCGACTGTTCTCGGGCTCCAGGTCCTCACCTGGGCCCAACACAAGAGGCTACGGCAATCGCGCACGCGCGTGCCGTGCAGCCCGAGAGCCCGGCGGCAGCAAGGTGGTCAAGGTTGCGAGGACGTTTCTGTTGTCGCCCTCGTTCTCAGCCATCCCCCCTCTCAGGGAAGCGACGCGCTCCGTCGACACTCCAGGCGGCACTGGCTTCATGACATGATTCGCGGGGTACGTTCCCCGATCCGTGGATGTGCCGCCCACGCGCCATATGTATCCAGGCATCCGTAATCCATGCGATCGCGTGCCCGATCCTCGGCGAGCACGCGCAGCGGCGACGACGCGGCAACGACGAGGGCTGGCCTGCCACCTCTCCGGGAGGCGCGCGGGGCCCCGTCGGCTCGGCGCTCGCGGCGCGGGCGCCCCCCCCCCCGCCAGGCCTCTGGGTGCCTTGGCCCCCCCTGGCTCGAGCACGAAAAAGCTGCAACAAAGCGCAGAACTGCCGGAGGACCGCGGGGACCCCTTGGATCTGTGCTGCACCCCTCTGGCGGGGCCTTCGGCGCCCCCTCCCAGGGGGTCCGGCGCCGAGCCAAGGTCTCCGCCCAGACCCACGAGCGTTTCTGCGCGCGCAGTTGCTCACCCTTGTAGAGGTGGCCCCAACTCCTCTTCGGGGGAGTGCGCTGGCACTTGCGAAATACGCAGCACCCCGCATATGCGGATAAGAGTGAGGATCTGGGGTGCCGATACCGCCACTCCAGTCCTCCAAAATGGGACAACTCTATCCTCACCGCTGCTGGAAGATTGCCGAACGGACGTGCACGGCGCTACCGCCACGGAATTGAGGTATTATAGTCTACGCCGCTGGCGGCGGGCACCGAGGGGACGTCGAGACTGGAGAGCAACACCGGCGCATGCGTGGGCCCCCAAGACGGCTTCCGACGGGGTCAGACGGGCCAGGAGTGCCTTGAGACGGCCAAAGAGGCCGCCGAGAAGCCCCCAAAGGCCCCCGAGAGGCCCAAGGAGGCTCCAAGAGATGCCTCCAAGAGGCTCCCAGGAAGCTCCTAGGAGGCCCCAAGAGTGCCTCCTCCTCCTCCTCCTCCGTCGCTCAAGACCCCACGGCGGGCACAACGCCCGCAGGCTTCCAACTGATCCCGCTAGTTCGCGGCCAGTTCAGAAGTGAATGACCCCACAGCTGGACACGGATGGTCAAGCTCTGTCGCTGAATCCCAGCCTGACCCTTGCTCGGAGGCAGCTCAGCAGCTCGCAGCCAGCGGCCTGCCTGCACACCATCAGAAATAACTCCAGGAACTTCTTCAAGCTCAAGTCGACACTGCATTTGCCGCCACCGTGCCTGTGTTGTTGGTATTGAAGCCTAGTCAATGTTCGTTGGGATCTCGTGGGAGGCCTCTCGGGGGCTTCTTGGAATCAGTATGGGGGCCTTTGGGGTCCGGTTTGGGACCTCTTGGGGCCTCTCTTGGGTCTTTTTGGGGCCTCTTCGGGCCTTTTGAGAGCCTCTTGGTGGCCTCTGGGGGGCCTCTCGCCTCTTGGGGCGGGCGGCTCGTTTTTTTCCGATTCGGTTGCCTCCTCTCGGGCCCATTTTGGGCCCGTCTTGGGGCCCTCTTGGGCCGTCCAGGGCGCTCCTTGGGCAGTCTCGGGAGCGCTCTAAGGCCGTCTGTGGGCCCTCTTGGATTTGAACCACGTGCCGGTCACAGCTGCGAACGATCAGTCCTGATTTTTTGGGTTCACGCGTGGACTGATCAAGCGAAGCCAGATATGTGTTCCTGTCGTGTCGGGCCCAACTTTCGGCGATGCGCGGCCGCGCGATTTCGATGGTGACTTGTTCTCTCGTTCCGACCAGCGGCGGCCTTTGGTTGCGCGTCTGTACAGTTCAAATAGCCAAGTACTTTAGCAGAAGCCCCGGAAAGGTTGGGAGCCGCAGTGGCGCCCAAGTCTTCCAAGAGTATTGCGCGCAGTTAGACGGGCGGAGCTTGCCGGACGTTCAGGCCGCAGTTTTGGGTCTAGCGAAGGCCACGCCGCATGCGACGACGACCTCTCGATCCAGTGCGGTCCGGGCAGTCGTCAATGCTGCTGTCGAGCTTGCTGGTGACAGCGTTGCTGCAGCTGCGGGTGCAGACCGTCACGTGGCCGTTCTCCCTTTGAGAAAGGTGGTGCGCCGGGCCCGACGGTTTCGACGCGAACGCAAGGTGAAGCATATAGTATTGAGTAGCCATAAGCTCGCAGTTCCCATGCCCACCATAGGTAACGGGCAACCTACCCATGACAGAGACACTTGCAGTGACGTGGTTTACTTTTGTGATTTGACAAGTTTTTGGAAGGATTGTATTTCTTTCTCTTGTCATGCTGAGCGGCCAGCTAAATTTGTGAGCTCATCCCTGAACTATGCTATGGATGGTCTGACCCTCCGCGACCTTTATTGCTTGATGATATCCAAAGCCGTGCCAAGATGAAGAAGCATACAGCTGCTGGAGCTGATGGTTGCCCTCCGGAAGTTTACAAGTCTCTACCGTATGTTCTTGTTGTCTGCATTTGGCAGTTGTTCCATCAATTTGTGAGCAACATTTCCAGTGCTATACCTGGCACGTGGAAGTGTATCAAATCTACGGATGCGCTAGACGAGTCCCAAGCGGATTGCTTCGAAAATGACCGTTGGCTTTCGAAAATGGGCTTCGTGATAAAATGGTACCTCCAATATGTCATGATATGTATCCGACGGAGTCTTCCGCAGGCCCCTGTTTGCAGTTATGGGTTCAAACGTGGCATGGCTTGCAGTGGCGTTGATATTGAGGCAACAGCTATTCTTCTCGATGGGGATTCGCACTTCTCGTAGCCGCGTTTGGTGTTGCCATAGCGTTTGATTCCGTGGACCACGAGTGTCTCACCTCTTCGTTTCCCCAGGCAGGATGCACCTGGAGCACGTCTGCTGCCTCGTCCGCGAGCTCTGTGTTTTTTGGGCCAGACTGGAAGTGCCGACGGTTGGGCATACCAAGTGGTTCCCGTGTACAACGGATGGGAATCAGGGTGGCGCCGAACAGTCAGACGAGGTCATTTTTTTAATGCGTTTTGTTCCCAGTCGTCGTTGGTTTGACCCGCCGGGAACTCGGCTTCGATGTCAGTGATGGTGTTCGCGTGACTCATTCGGTCTGGGCAGACAACGCGCTTATCATCGCGCGCACCAGGCAGCAGTTCGAGTTCATGCGCCAGGAACTACTAACACATTCTGCTTTTTCGTGCAGATTACAAGTTGAGATGGGAACCTTCGTTCCTTCAGTGCCTTCATCATTGTGTGGGCCCGCTTGACGTTTCGTCGGTGTGGGTGCGGTTGCCTGGCGCCACCACTTTGGAGGTACGACATGTTTTGGAGATGGAGACTTTGGAGGCGTTACTGAATCCCACAGGTTCCTCCATGGCTAGGTTTAAGTCCCGCGCGCGCAAAGCAAAGGGTCGTTCCCGTGCTAATTCGTCTGCGTTCTTAACCGCCGGAGGGGTTGTATAGAAAAAAGGAAGCATGGTGGGGGTGTCCCTGGAAGTGTTGTGGCATTTGGAGCGTGGAATTGGCAAGTTACATATGATATGTTATGGGCAGCGAAGCGATGGAAATTCAAATGGCGTCGGGAGGTGCTGCGTCTGAAACGTCGGCGAGAGGATGGGCAGCTCGATTGCAATGGCCGGGCGAGTGCGCTAAATCCGGCATGGGTTCCGATGGCGAACGCTGTGTTCCTCCATCACCGCGCACTTCAGGTTGTCGTCGAAGAGGCGTGAGGGGGATGATGCGTTCCGTTCCCGCGGGATAAGAAACGCATCGCCACTGCTTGACTCTATTGAGACCGAGTGTGGTGGAACACCGTCGAAGACCTTCCATTTTCGGATACCCTGAATGGGAAGTGGTGCTTGTAATGGTGTGTGTTTTGTCTTGGAAGCGCGATGCGGCGGGCTGCCAGACGGATGAATGGATTCAGAAATTGCCCTTGCTTGTAGAGTCTGTGTGCGAGCAGCGGGGCCTCCCAGTCATACCTGGGTGCCAACCTACGGAGGGTGGCCCGTTGTCAGAGGCCGGCTAGGCGCCGACGTAGCGTGCCGACGGATTTGTCCGATTTTCCGGACTTATGGCCCGGCTTGGGAGGAAACGCAACATGTCATTTCGCACAAGAGTCAAAGCCATTTTCTTTTCATCGAGGAGTGCCAGACGCTGTGCCACGCGAGCTGCTGGAAGTCGCCACTCGAGAGCACTGGCTGGGAGAAAACGTTGGCGGAACATCACGGAGAACCTGAAGGCTTTACGTTTCTTGGTTGGCCGCCGCCGCGCCGGTGGGAAAATCCGGTGACTTGGAAGCCCCGCGGGTGTCACAATATAGCAAATTACGTTTTTCAGCGTCACAGTCGATTTCTAGAGATCTTGGACACGCCAACTCCATGATATCCTGGCGGACGGTTGCTACATCATTTGCAATTCCGACGGCGCGTGGATTGGTATGAGTTTTGTTGCATCATATATCTTGGAGGCGCGCGTTGAGAGGGATGGCGTTTCTATGACAAATGTTGTCGCCATAGGCGGGATCTACATGGATGGCCCTTTTTAGTTTTTCGTTGTGGAGGCGATTGCTTTGCCATGTGCCAGAAGATCGGTTGAGTTAGACTCACGCACCAAACGCGGGACATGTAAGTACTTCTATTTCGATTGCGTTCACACGCCAGCACCAGAGGTGCTTTAGGCTGCACCGAAGGAAGGAACGACACACATAAAGAAAAACGCAGGAAGACTTCTGTGGCCGTTTCGGAATGCTTTTATGGGGCTCTTGGGCCGTCTTGGAGCGTCGGAAAGCCGAAAAAGCGAAAACGCCCAAATGTTCCGAACACCGTCGGGGTGTCCTTCATGTCTACATCTTGGGAGGCCTTTCGGGGCGTCTTGGATGGAGGCCGCTTGAGGCCAGTTGGGCGTCTTGGGGCGATCTCTCGGCGATTCCTCCTCGGGATGCAAGCATCGCGCCGCACACGGCCGTTTTCCTGCCACCGCCCCCGCGCGGGCAGTGTGCGTGGGAAGCCTGGCAATGGGGAGGCGCAGCCGAAGATAATGCGCGTTCGTGTGCACGCGCGTTTCCCATCGCTGCCCCTCGTCGTCCCCCCCCCCTCCCGTTTTTCCCGTCCGTCCCCTCCCTGCGCCGCGCCCTCTGTTCCCCCGCCCTGTCCACTCAACATCCGTTTCTTTTTGCTCCTCCTCGTCGTTTCCTTCTTTCCGTAGCGGCGGCCCTCATCCGTAGTACCCCCCCCCCCCCCGCTCGCCGCGATAACAAGGATGGCCGCTGCAGCGCCCCCCGGCGCGAGGCGGCCGACCTGCAGAGGCGAGTTGCCCGCCGGTCCCGACGGACCAAGGCAGGGCGGCGCCCGGTCCCGGCAGTGGGCGAAGAGGGCCGTATTCCCCAAGATCAACCAGGCCATCATCGCAGCCGCAGAGCACGATCTACCCACCACGATCGCGGTCGTCGAGCCCCTGATCCCGCAGATGAACCTGGTCAACATCTCCACGGCGCTGCACAGACTGGCACGGCTGTCCAGCAGCAGCCCGGAATCATTGCACCAGCTCCGCGGGCACCCCGTGATGCCTGCACTGCTGGCCGCGGCGGCCATGGCTCTGGACAGGACGCGGGACACGGGCGCACAGCCGAAGACTCAGGTCTTGAGCAACGTCACCTGGGCCATGGCGACAATGCAGACCCTTGACCTTCATCTGTTGACCAAGGTGGTTGCACTGTCCGAGGAGGTAACGTCCCTCTTCAAGGCCTTCGAGCTCTCCGGCTTGCTGTGGGGACTCGCGACGCTGGGAGGCCTCGAGCCTGAGGTGCTGAGACTGGCGGAGCCCATTTTCGCCCGCGCCTCTGGCCAGGTGTCCGGGGACTTCAGCTTCAGGTGCCTGGTGATGACGTCCTGGGCTTACGCTGCTGCGGGGTGGAGGGACGCAGGCCTCTTTCAGCGCCTCGGCGACCTGATGCTGCCAGGCCTGCGGTCGGCCAGCGGGCCCGAGCTGCAGAGCATCTCGTGGGCCTTTGCGGCCGCTGGCGTCCACCACGGCGCGGTGCTGTCCCAAGTCCGGTGGCGGCTCGGCGGTGGCGGCGTGGGTGCCGCGGACGGCGGCGGCGCCACCGCTCCGCGGGCCACCCCACGGGAGGCCGCCCGGGCTCGGCGGTGCCCCGCCGATCGAGGGGGCGCGCCCGCGAGGGCTCGGGCCCTCCACCGACCTGAGGCCGCGGAGGACACCCCCGCGTGCCCCGAGGACGCCGCCGCGACGGCGCAGCCCGGCTCGTGCGCCGAGGCCGCCGCGGCCGCGACGGAGCGGGAGCCCCCGGCGGGCGGCCGGGTTCAGCAGGCTGCTGGGACGGGCTGGGTGTGCACTGTCAAGAACACCTTCGTCGACGTCAGCGACGGCAGTACCTCCAGTGACGAGTCGGAGGACGAGGCCCCGCTGGGGCCGTCGCTGGACTGCATCCCGCAGGGCATCATCGATCCCGACGAGCTCACTGCCTACCGCACGTCCTACCAGAAGTTCCGCTCTGGGAAGTGCCGCGGCGCCAAGGGGGAGGTGTCACACCTGGGGGCGAGGGCCTGAGACTGCCCAGCGGCGGCCGCCGCTGGCCCCTCTCGCTCGGGGGGGTCGACGGAGTGGCGCAGGAGCATCCCACGCAGCGGTCGGGGAAAACCGGGCAGACTTCTCACGTCTCTCAACCTGGCTGAGCTGCCTGGGCAAGAGCCCGCTTCGAGGAGATACAGATGCTCTTTCTGGCGGGTTGCGCAATCTTATTCGACATCACACCAGGGAGGAACCTCAATCAGTGGTCTTCCTGCGATATTTGAATCCCATCCACGCCCTCCCTCTCTCTCTATATCTCTCTCGCTCTCAGTCTCTCTTCCTGGCTGTTAAATTCATGCAGTTGCCCGCGGCAAGTCCCGCCACCGTGCCAGCCCAGCATGCTCGGCGGCTCTCTTTCGCGGGAGCAGCGGAGGCCGTGCTTGCGAGGGATGACGTCATGATAACGATGGCGATGATGATGATGATGATGATGATGATGATGATGATGATGATGATGATGATGATGAGGATGAGGAGGAGGAGGAGGAGGAGGAGGATGAGGATGAGGATGAGGATGAGGATGAGGATTATGATGCTGATGCTGATGCTGATGCTGATGCTGATGTTGATGTTGATTATGCTGATGATTCTGATGATGAGTATGATGATCATGCTGATTATGATGATTATGATGATGATGGCGACGACGACGCCGACGACGACGATGGTGATGATGCTGCTGAGGATGTTGATGATGCTGATGCTGCTGATGATGATGGTGCTTTTGATGATGATGATGCTGATGCTGCTGATGATGATGCTGATGCGGCTGATGATGATGATGATGATGATGCTGATGATGATGATGATGATGATGATGATGGTGATGGTGATGGTGATGGTGATGGTGATGATGATGATGATGATGATGATGATGATCAAGGTGATGCAGATGATGGGTTGATGATGGTGATGATGATGATGATGATGATCATCATCATCATCAGCATCATCATTATCATCATCAGCAGCAGCATCATCATAATAATTATAGCTGACGGGGTATCGTGGGAGACCTCTCGGGGGCTTGTTGGATGCAGTTTCGAAGTTTCTTGGGTGCCGTCTGGCTGCGTCTTGGAGGCCTCTTGGGGGCCTCGTAAGGCTCCTTGGAGGCCTCTTACAGTCTCCTGGGGGCCTCTTCCGGCGGCATGTTCCCTCTCTTGGGCACCTCTCGGGGCCGTCTTGGGGCTCTCTTGGGTTGATGTGGGCGCCTCTTGGGCTGTTTTGGGGCTCTCTTGGGCCGTCGGGAGCCTCTTGGGCTGTCTTGGGGCTGCATTGGGGGCCCTTGGGGTCCTCTTGGAGCGTCGGAAGCTTGAAGCAGGGATAACGTGAAAAACACTGGACAACAGAATGACAATCAATGACTGTTACCTCGTGTGGCCCTCGTGGGGGTCCTCTTGGAGTGCTCTCGGGGCCTCTTCGTGGCCTGGCAGGCGGTCTTGGAGGCACCCTGTGCCATCTCTTGGCGGCCTCGGTGGCCTCCCGGGTCCGCCCTGGAAGCCGCGCCGATGGGCGCCGGCAGAGCCTCGGGAAGAGGGGGCGGTGCGCGCAACGATGCGCGGCCTGGAGGGGGGGGCCCTTAGATATTACAGAAACCCTATCAGACAGCACTCGGCATTCTAGCACGCCTCAACGTGTCAGGGGGCACGGTAGGTCTCCGTCTCTCTGTTTCTGGCTGTGGAGCGCCATGCGTACTCTCCGTTTTCCTGGCATGCCCTGAATCCTCGTCTACACGATTGCCACACACCTGGTCTAAACTGTTGTTCTGTCGGGAAGAATGCATTTACACATGTGTATACATATGTTATGGTTGTTTGTCCATTTTCCCCTCTCTGTCTCGCTCTCCCTCTCACTCGTTCCCTCGCTCTCTACCCAGGTTTGCAAAATGTCATGTCACACACACGCATAGATATATGTATCTATGTGTATGTATATATCCGTAAGGGCTTCGCCCCCTGCCGCCGGCCCCCTCTCTCGGAGAATGGGCCATGGAAGAGCTAAGTCATGAGGCTTTGGCGCTGTCGTGCAGCAGTATCGGAACTTCATGCGAGGCCGATTCGCAATCGGCAAAACCAACTGATCACAAGAGGGGTTACCACACAGGGCGATTGGTAAGACGTGTATGGTTTACGAGCTTGGTTACCACACCTTGGGATTAAAGGGCCGAGGGAGTACTCGCAGTTTGGGTTACCACGCCTTGCGATGGATGTGCGTGAGGGGTGGCACCGAATTTCAGAAATGTGGCAAATCCCATGTGTTTTTGGACCCTGACCCCGCGGATCTGCGTGAGGGGTGGCACCGAATTTCAGAAATGTGGCAAATCCCCTGTGTTTTTGGACCCTGACCCCGCGGATCTGCGTGAGGGGTGGCACCGAATTTCAGAAATGTGGCAAATCCCCTGTGTTTTTGGACCCTGACCCCGCGGATCTGCGTGAGGGGTGGCACCGAATTTCAGAAATGTGGCAAATCCCCTGTGTTTTTGGACCCTGACCCCGCGGATCTGCGTGAGGGTGTCGATTTCGAGCCCCCCAGCAATTCAGACAACGCGCCCAGGTGGTGCTAAAAATCTGGTTTGGGCCTCCCTCCCCTCGCGCGGTCAATCAACTAGTTACAGTAACCAGCAAGAAGCAGAACTGTAACACTGGAAACTACAAACTACAACTGGTACAGGAAACTGCGAATCACGCGCCTCGCAGCCTGGTGGCCCCACAAGGGGGCCGGCGGATAGATCCCAGGTGCTCAGCTCTGTTGTCTCTCAGTTTTGCTCGTCTCTACCTGATAGGTTCCCTCCACTCATGATTCCTATATATCAGTATGACCGTGGTCGCATGGACCCGGATGCTAGACCGTAACAAAGGATTCGAAAATCCAGAGGCTCCCGACCCGAATCAGAGGAACAGTGAAATTGACTGCCCAACGAAGTCGGCCCAGAATTGGGAATTCAGGAATTCGCACATGAACCAGGGAATCCGGCCGTCGCCGAAATCGGCGGCGTACATGTTCCTTTTGTCTTCAATCTCGCTTGGGACCCCCTCAGTGCAAGCGATTATTTGGAAGATTGTTCTTGCTGGTGGGTTTTTACAATTTTATCCCGGAGGAACAGGCGCAGCTACGCAAGGCTCGCAGGAAGGCGATGCCCTCCCCGCGTGCCCGTATTTTGATGCGTAGCTTTCCGGATGCAGCTGCTGGCGTTCGCTTGGTAGGACACCGTCTTCGCCGCCGAGCGCTGAGCCAGTCTGGCGCTGTTTCGGCGCAGGTCTAAGCCTGCACTCGTCCCTCTGGCTGGCAGCGTTTCCGTTCCTACAAGCCCGGCGTTAGAATTAATTTACACACATCGTGGTGGCGAGCATGCAGCAGTGAGCGCACGTGCCTTCTAACATTCGCAGCCGACTAAGTGTGAAAGACCAGATGAGGTGGGGGAAGCAGTTGGGAGGCACAATGGGGAAGCATGTACGTTCCCTTTGGCACGCCAGGCTCCCAGAGCATGCAAGGCAGCACACAGGCCCTTGCCGTGCCCCAACCAAGCTTCCAAGTCCGAGGTCCCCGCCGTGCGAGGCCTCGGGCTCTAAAGTCTCCGATGCGGCGGTTCGCTTCCCCGCCGTTCACTCGGCCTGTATCCAGGGTTTCTGTTTACCTCTTCCACCAACAAAACCTAGCAATAGCCACAGCATGTGCGCTGTAGACCGGAGACGTGGCATCGACCGTTCTGCGGTGGCGACGGCCAGCTTTGTACAGGACGCTCCCTGACGCCAGGCCCGCCGTGCCACAACGAGAGTGGTGTTGACCGTCGCATAGGGCCTTGATGCACGGTCGCGCGCTGCTTCGTAATACGCAGCATCATTTGTCATCTGACCTCGACCCACGCTGGCCTTGCGTGCGACCGGCTAGCGCGTAAGACCGCGTCGCGGCCTAATACCTTTGACTCGCAATCCACCACCTCATCTGGTGTACCCTCGTCCTTCTTTTTTCTTCGATGGTCCTAAGCGTCCCTGTCACCCCTCCCAACCTCCCAATTTCTTCCTCATCCCTCATTGTTCTATCCATGCCCCCTCTGTTTCCCTACTTTCCGTACTTTGTTTTGTCTAGGCGGTGCTTGTTCTACTGGGATCTTGCTCGTCCTGCTAGTGTTTGCAGCAAGCGAGGGGGCTAAGTGAGGAGGAGCAGGCCTTCTCAGGAGGCGGTGGGACTTCTCAGAAGTCCTCGCGCCCTCTGAGAAGTTGTTTATGCCGTCGGGGAAGGCCTAGAAACCTGCCCAGAAGGCCAGGGGACTTCCGAGCCTTCTGAGAATCGGACCGGGCGAAAGGCGGGGATTGGGAAAGGGGGGGTTACGAAATCTGCTGCATGCAGCTGGTTTCGGCCCCGCCGCCGGGCCCATTCCTCGATACGTGGGCGCCTCCCGGCGCCGGGAGGCGCAGGGAAAATCAACCGCGTGAGCTGATTCTCCAACTCCCCCTTTGCTATCCCCCCCTTTCGCCCGGCCCGAGAGAAGCCCCGCCCCTTCGCACCTTCCCCCCTGGGCTCGCCGCTGTTCATGAACGGGGTGACGCTTCTGGGTCCTGTTCGCGGTGGGAGCCCGTCGCCGCCCGGTCGCCGCGTCGTGCGCGGGCCGGCGTTGCCGGCTGTCCTGCATGGTCGGCGCCCGTCGCCTCTTCTCGTCGCCGCCTCGTGCCCGTGTGGGCACTGCGACGCTACGGGCCTCGGGACAAATTGGCGAGCACAGGCCACACTCATCCGTCAACGCTTCCCCCTCCCCCCAATGTTCCAAGTTGGCGGTGGGTCTGATGAGATGCACTTCGACCGCAGTCTCCCCCGCGCGTGCCAACGTTGAGTTTGGGGGGGAGGGGGAGTGTCCAGTGATTGTTTCCCTCTACCGTAGCACCAGGGTTCCTGCGATTGCTCTCCTCGGCCACGCGCACAGGGGGTAGGGGGAGGAGGGGAGGCTTCACCCTGCTTCTTAGAAGGCGCGGGCCTGGCCTGTAGGTAAAGGTCGGCGCCTTCTAAGATGCAGCCTCCTCCTAAGAGGCCTCCCCCCATTACCCTACCCCCCTGTGCGCGCCGCCTATCTACCATGACTACCTCGACTGTATTTCTGACTGCTTGTATTTCTACTTTGTGGAAAGCCTTACGGCCGGTGCCGCCGAACTTCAATGCGAAAGAGTACGAAGACGGCGGCAGCGACAGCACGACGACGACGCTGACGAGCAGGAGCCCTTCTCGGGGCTCTCTTGGGAGCTTTTTGAACTCTGTCGTGGGGCCTCTTGGGGGTCTTCGTGGGAAGCTTCCTGGTCACTTGGAGCCGCTTGGGACTTGATTTTTCGCCTCGTGGAGGCATGTAGGAAAATACGGAGAACCCCGCGACAGCAGATAAGAACGAGGAGCTCCGGGAGGGGGCTCCAGCAGGAAAGCGGGGTGGTGGCGGTCTCTTTGTCCACAGGGGGAGGCGGGGGGAGGGGTCGTGAGCTCCACTATCAACAGGGAGACTACTCCCGCAGGGGCAACCATTCGGGGGGGGTGTCATGACCTTTGGGGCCCCCCCAGGGTTCTTCCCCCAGAGATCCCCACCAGGACCCTCGCCAGGACCCCCCCCCGCTCGCCCCCACCCGGCCCGGTACTCAGCATCAGCATCAGCAGCAACAAAATTCATAGTGCATGGTGATGGTGGTGGTAATCGCCGAAGTGGTAGTGACAGTGGTAGTGATAGTGGGAGTGTTAGCAGTGACTGAATTGATGGTTGCAGTGCCAGTACTTTGGTGTTGGTAGTGGTAGTGGTGTCGGCGGTGGTTTTGGTAGCACGCGTGCAGTTTTCGATGGATACACCACCCGGGTGTAGGGTACCATGCGCTGCCTTCTTGGGCGAGAGTTGTCAGCACATGTGGGCTGCACGTCTTTCATGCGTTTGGCCCTTGTCTGGCTGAATGCGTTGGCTCTCCGCAGATGTCTCCAGCGCGAGGCCCCTAGATGTTTCACGTGTGATTCCCCTCCGCGTGTGGTTCCTCTTGTCTGGTGCTGTTGGCGGGGCATCATTTAGTGGTATTCGGAGCAGCATGGCCATCTGCACCAGCAGCAATGGCAACAGCACTGTACCAGGAGTGGAATCATCCGGCTGCAGAGGCTGAAAGAGGAGAAGCAGCAGAAGCAGCAGCGGCGGAAGCACTGGCAGCAGCAGCGCCACAACATCGATACGCTCACACAGCCGGGGCATCCTGGCTCCAACTGTTTGCGGACAAGAGCGGAGCCTGCGCCCCGCAATGCGCCGAAAGTGCCAGCTGCTGACTGATATCGCGTTGACCTATGCACACGCGTTCGCCAACATGCCAGGCAGTGACATCTTGCTGCTGCGACGACCATACGGTCAGTCAGAAATGGTGGAGCTCGAGCTTACGTCGATCCTCCGTGGCACGTTCTTCGTATCAATCGGAGTGGCCGTGCCGTGGGCGCCTAGATAAGAGCCAGGAGTTTGCGTCTGATCGCCCCCAGCTCGCGCCGCTTTCTTGCGCCGACCGCTGCTGCGATAGCTTAGGCCGCCGCGTCGGCAGCCTTGCACGTGCCAACCCGCGCCCTGTGCACTACCAGCTACTACCTGCTAAAAGCAGCATGCTGCTTGGATACACTAGCGCTGTGTGTTCTGATGTGCTCGCTTGAGGTGGACGTGCTTTCCCACAGCCGAGCCTGCGCCCGCGGCTGTCTCTGACCGATGGTTCGGCCCCAACGCGTGAATGAGAGCAAAGTCAAAGCATACCGGCTCGGGCCGGATGGCTCGTGAGCTATATGGAAGAGTTGTGGGCTGTGCCAGCATTGGAATGCACAGATGCTCCGGCCTACGTCTGCTGTCCCGCCCCGATACATCATGGAGCGCCCCTGGCGCTTCGCACTCGGGGCGGAGACGCCCTCCCCAAGCTCGCAGACTTCGAAGTTCATGTCTCGAACCCCACTGTGCTGCGAGGTGGCGCCCCGTTCTGACATTCTCGGATCCCGCACCCCCCCCGCGGGGGCCGAATCTTGCTCCCCCCTCCTCCCCTCCGCTCCGGCCAGAGGTGGCCAGCGGCCTGCAGGCGGCGTCGTGCGAGATCTTCGAGGCCTGGCGCTTCCTCTTTCAAAACGCGCGCGCGCGCGATGCGCGGGGGGCCTGAACCTCCTGCCCCCGCGGTGCGCTCGCCTCGTGGTACCCCCTCGTCGCTGGTTCTCGTCCTCGGTTGTTGTCGTCCTCTCCGTCTCGCGCTGCATATCCGCAGGAGGTCGTCTGTCCTGTAAGCTGCGGTATTTCCTAATACGGGGCGCGGGCTTGTCGCGGACTCGGCGTGGAGTCGGCGCGGATCCGGCGCGGATTCGGCGCAGATTCGACGTGGATCGATTTGGGCCAGCCGCATGGACTGATTTGCTAACCTTCTCTTGCGAATTGCCCCTCCCCCCCGGAAGGGTCCTGAACAAGTTCTCTGAAGCGTAGAGTTTTCGGGATCACTGGCTAACAACCATGCAAGTGCACCAGAAAATTACGTTGCACCCGCAGTTACGGATTAGATTGAGGGAGGGGCGGCGACGTCGGCAGTCAAATTATACAACGAGTCCGCCGCAGGCACCGATTTTTTCGTCAAAGCAATGTGGGTGGATTGCGGGCCTGGTCGCGGGCGGGTCGCGGGTGGGTCGCGGGTGGGTCGTGGGTGGGTCGCGGGCGGGTGGCGTGTGGGTCGCGGGTGGGTCGCGGGTGGTTCTTGGGTGCTCTCGGGGCCTCATTTCGGCCTTTTCGGGACCGCGTGCGGCTTCTGGGAAACATCCGGGGAGCCTGCTGGCGGTCTCGGGGGGTATTTTGGGGGCGGAGGGCTCGAAATGTCAGTCTGTGTTCCCCCTCGTGGGGCTCTCGTTGGTCCCTCTTGTGGCCGTGTTGGGCCGTCTCGGAGGCCTCTTGAGCCGCCTTGGCGCTATATTGGACTGATGTCGACGACGACGACGATGACGACGTTGACGACGACGACGGCGACGACGAGGACGTTGCCGCCAGCAAACAACGACGATCGAGAGATACGATGAAAGTTCGGTCGACCCCTAGCGGGGCGGGATGCTAGCATTAGCAGGACCGGGCCCTAATAGGATTCAACGTTAGCAGGACCGAGTCCCAGTAGGAGTCAATTGAATCATTATCGAGCCTTCGTACGATGCTCTTCAAGATGTATCCAACCCGGAAAGAGCTGTCATGATAGCTGGACCGAGCTTCAAAAGGAGGCCACTACACCTGGACCCACCCGTGATTTGATTATTCTAGAGCTGGACCCAGCCGTAGCAGGATGATGCTCGAGCGGAATCGGACCCCAGTAGGGTTCTAATAAAGTTGGTTCCAGCCCTCGTAGGATTCCGTTAGAGCTGGATCGTGCTTTAGTACGACTATCAGAGTTGGATCGAATCCTAGTAGGATCGTACGATCGTTGAGTTGACTCCTAGAAGTATGTTGTTCGAGCTTGGTGGATCCCCTGGTGGGCTTTACCACAAGCTGCATCGATCCCGAGTAGGTTTCGATTCGAGCTGGATGCAGCCCCAGAAAGGTGCATCGGCTGGCGCCGCACCGCCGACCCCTTGTTGCGGCAGTGCGGAACGATTTCTGAGAAATCTTGGGGTTTCAGCTTCTTGGGAGTTCGTCGTGGGCGGTTGGCGGATCGCCGCACTTTTGAGGCCTCTTGGGAGCCGTTCTGAGGCCTCTAGGAGCTTCTTTTGGGCCCCTCGGGGGCCTCGTGGGAGCCTCTTGGGGCCGACTGGCGCCTCCTCAGGTTTTTCGGGGCCGAGTGCTCGAAGTGTTCATTCGGGTTCCCCCTCTGGGCTTCCTCTTGGGGCCGTCCTGGGGCCCTCCTGGGTCGTTTTGGAAGCTTCTGGGGCCGTCTTGGGGCCCTCTTGGACCGTCTTGGAGCCCTCTTGGGGGCCTCTTGGGCTATCTTGGGTCGATCTTAAAGGCTTCTTGGGTCGTTGCGGGCCTCGTGAAAGCCCAAGAGGCGAATGTGCTAAAACCATACGCTTCCATAAGGGAATGGGGCGATTTTTGCTTCTGGAGGGCCTCTGGGGACGCCTCTTGGTGGCTTCTTGGGGCGTCTTGGGCGCCTTTGGGACCGTCTTGAGGCGATCTAGGGCGTCTTGGAGCGATCTTTCGGCGACTCGCAGCCCTCTTGGACCGTCTGTCGGGCCTCTTGGGGCCCTCTTGGCCCGTTTGGGAACCCCTGAGGCTTCAAGGGTGCGGCTGGCACCTTTGCCCTCCCCCCCCTCCAAACCGGCCGGACCAGGCACCTGGGGGAGGGGTTTGGGGAGGAGGACGCATCTCACACGCCGTGACCCCAAGGGGTCGGTGGATATTTTTAGAGCTAGATTCATCCCGAATATGTTCTAGCGCAGAACTCACGCACGGCAGGATTCTATGACACTTTGATCAAGCCTTCTAAGATTCTATTGCAGCTGGATCCACGAGAGCTGCATCGAGCCATCGTCGGGTTTCGTCAGAAGTGGAAAAAGATGTTGTAGGGTTTTATTGGAGCTGGACCGACACTTGATAATAATCAGTCAGAGCTGGATCCAGCCTTAGTCGCAGGATTCCATCAGAGCTGGAACGAGCTCCTTTTTTAGATTTCGGTCAAGCTTGGACCAGATCCTAAGAGTAATGGGGCTGGATCTGGCCTCATATGGATTATGTTAGAGTTGGATCGAGCCCTACTAGGATTCTATCAGGGTTGGTCCGAGCCCAAGTCGGATTATATTAGGCTTGGATCGAGTCCCAGTAACAAAATATCGAGGCGCCTGGCGCGGGCGCCGGCGACGGTTGCGCCGCCGACGCCGCTGACGATGTCGCCGTCGTCGGCGTCGTCTTAGGCGTCGTCGTCGTCGTCGTCGTAGTCGTCGTCGTAGTCGTCGCCGTGTCCGTCGTCTTCGTCGTTGTCGTTGTCGTTGTTCGTCGTCGTCGTCGTCGTCGTCGTCGTCGTCGTCGTCGTTGCCCAGGGGGATCTGTGGGGAGGATCTTGAGCCTCTCGACTGATTTTCATGGGGGTCGAAGGGGGGATCCGCTGCGAATAAGTTGCCCGGGGTGGTGGGGGAAGAGGGGGAGGGGGCCTGGTCTTAGACACCCCTCCATGAATTTTGGGTGGTGGAGGGGGGGGGACCTGGCTCCTGCCCCTGCCCTATAGAATTTCGTCAGAGGCCAGCGACGGCGGATCGCGCTCCCTCGTTGTCTCGGAGCCCTATCGACCCGTCGCTGGTTCTTCGCGCCCGCCTTTGGGCCTTACTGCCTCTCCGAGGGCATGGGAGGGGCGCTGATGCGTGCCCGCGTTCCCGCGTCCCCCCCCCCATTACAACAACATTCTGGACGCCAGGGGAGGGGGGGCATGGGGGCAGGGACAGCACCTTCTCTCACACGCCCGTCGCCCCCAGCATGCCTCGGTCGGCGGACCTGTCCCTGTCCCGGGGCAACTTGGGGTTGAACACGGATATCCGTCCCCCTCCAGATGATGTGCGCTCATGGTCATCAGGTGTCGTCTTCTTCGGCATAATCATCGTAGCCACCGTCAGCATCATCGTCATCATCATCATCATCATCATCATCATCATCATCATCATCATCATCATCATCATCATCATCATCATCATCATCATCATCATTACCACCGTCATCATCACCGTCAGCAGAAGCATCACCACTTCTTCCAACATCATCACCACCATCATCACCATCATCACTCCGTATCATATGCATCGTAGCCGCCATCTTCGTCCGAACTGGCTCAGCAAACCTCGCCGTGGCCCTGTCCCATCGCCGTTGTCCCCCCCACGAGCCACCTCCAACCAGCGCTCAAGACCTCCACGCATCGCCGCTCAACACGTCACCGCCATCACCGCCCATCTCGGGCGGGCCCCCCGCAGGCTCACCGCGCTCCTCCACGCGCCGCATTCCGCCCTGCAGCCGTTGCCGTCTGAAGCCCGCGCTCCCCACCTGCGGGGGCGCAGCGCGCCCGAGAGGGGACAGCCCGTGAGCGAGACAGGAGGTCGCCGGGGGGGCACCAGCAAGCGGGATCCAGGGACGAAAAGCTCCGAGATTCGATATGTTCGGGCGTTATCGCCGGGAGAGCCCGTGAGCGAGACAGGAGGTCGCTGGGGACACCAGCAAGCGGGATCCAGGGATGAAACGTTTGGAGGTTCGAGGTCTTCGCGCGTTATCGTCGGTGTTCGGCGGCTTTCTGGCCTCGGGGTGGTTTCCAGCGGTTGCGCCAAGCCGAGAGCGTTCCGGGGGTGCTGGATCGCCCCGAACGGCCGCCAGAGGCCCGATTTGTGGACCGAAAACCATCGTGGACAGGGAAAAGGTTGCATCGACCCCCCCATGGATCAACGAACGTGGCCTGATAGTCCACCCCTCCCGAGAGCGTACGGTTCCTCCATTCTGCCATCGATGTATCGCCGATTCCATGTCGATGTTCCCCCTTTGAGGCGGTCCCCCCTTAACATTACCCTGGCAGGGAGGGGATCCAGCGCCGATCCAAGGAATCGTCGCGGACCTCCGAAAGCTTATGTGTGTGGTTGTTATTTGTCGTCTTCGTCCTATTATTATTCTTCTTCTACTGGCCCCCCGCCGCGGCCGAATCCTTCCGCATCCCTCATGGTTCCCCGACACCCCCAGTCCTTTTCCGTGCTCCCCCGGTCTCTTATTGCCACCGCAGTCGGGCCTGACTGGCGGGCCGACCCCGCAGCATCAGGGGTGCCCTCGTGTCTTGACTTCCCCGTCGCGTGCCCCGCCCTGCGTCTGGATCACAGGCTGCCCTCGGGAAGAGGCTCGGGTTCTCTCAGGTGGCCCGTGCAGTCTGTCCCCACTGGGCCCCGTTTGCTGCGGGTCGTCGTCACAGGGACTGGCACCCTTTGAGCTCGGGGTCCAGGCACCTCTGATGCAGTTCTGGCCTCCCCAAAGGTTGGCGCTCGTTGGGCGAGTGCCTGTGCCGGCATGACTACAGCTCACAGGCCAACATGGAACGCCGCCGTGGCGAGCGGGACCAACCCCAGCGGCAACAAGATCATGGCCCAGACCACAAAGGTGGGACGGTGTCTCAATCGGGTGGGGGAGCAG